TTATATATTATTATTATTAAAAACTAATAATTTCTAAAGGCTACCTTAAGAAGGAAATTAAACTATTATAAAAGCTAAAGTAATTTATTATAATAATTCTCTAAAATAGAAATTATAAGATATTAAAATATAAAATATATTTAAGTAATTTAAATTATATATCTAGAAAAGACATATAAGTAAAGTATTATAAAAATATTAAATATATTATTAATAGCTTAAGAAAAACTCTTATAAAGGAATAATAGACCTTTAAACTACAAACTAGTATAAAAAAGCTATTAAATCCCTCCTCTATATAAGTATAATTATAAGACTAGATATTACTTTTTTAATATTTAATATAATAAAATTTATAACTAATTTAAGTAAAGAATATATTACCATAGTAAATTAAGTCTTTAATTACCTATATATAACTTGATTTTATAAGCTATAATTTAATATTAAAAAAGGCTTTAAAGTTTATAGTAATATATTATTTATAAATAATTTTATTAATTAAAAGAGCTTTTAAGGTTATATAATAAAGCTATTTAAAAGCCTAATTAAATAGTATATAAATAAGTAAGATAATATAATAACCTTAATAATAAAAGTAAAGTTATTTATACTTTTATAAGTAATAAAAGAGGGCGTATTTTAATAAGGGCTATTTAAAAGCTTATAAATTAAGTTATTAAATATAGATTTATAACTTTTATATAATAACTAATAAATAATTAATTTACTTAAAAATCCTTTTTAAAAGCTAAAGATTAAATTAAAATATATAAATATATATAACTATTAGCTATATAAATATATATAAAAGAAAGTAGTTTTTCTTACTTATATAAAAAGTATAAAGCTTATAGTAAATAGGCTTATAAAGGTATTATAAGGTAAATAATAAGAAAAGAGCTATAAATAGCTTAAATTAATTAATATTAAGAATTATATAAATAAATATTAAAATAAGTAAGTTATTAAAAGAATAATTAATAAAATTATTAAAAATCTTTTATAATATTATTTTAGATTTTATAAAATTACTTAAGGTTTATTTAGCTATTATAAGTTTTTATAATATTAAATTATTAATTATTTTTTTTAAATTCTTTTTAAGTTTATAAATTAGCCTTAAAAGGTATATTTAAATATCTTTAAAATTTAATATAATTTAAATATTTATTACCCTTATTTCTTTTTTTTCCCCCTTACCTTTAGCCTTATATAAGGCTATTAAGCTTTTTAGCTTTTTTATTAATAATTTAAATAGTAAGACCCTTATAGCAGGCTATTATTATAAAAGTTAAAATTAAATAAAGTTTATTTACCTTAATAATATAATTACTACCTTAATTAATTAATATTAATACTAGTTATATCTTAATAACTAAATTAACCTTCTTTCTTTAACCTATCTAAAGGAATACTATATTTAATTTATCTATTATAAAATATATTATATAACCTAACTTTCCCTTTTAACTATTTTTACTAATAGTATAATAGCTATACTACCTTAATACCTATATAAAATAGCCTATAGCTATATAATTATACTTAATATATAACTAATTATAATTTTAATTTAGCTATTAGGCCTGCCTTAAAGGTAGTTAATAAAATAAAACTTTATATAATATATATAATAATTACTATTATTATAAAGAAATTTATATTAAGGGGCAGATTTAACCTTATTAAGATAATTATCTTTAATTATAGCCTAATTTAATTAATTAGTTATATAAAAAAGAGATATTATATTAATTTAATTAATTTAAACTAGGTTAATAAGAAGCTATTAGGTCTTAAAGACTTAAATATAGCTTTAAGAGAAAGTTATCTTCTTTAGTTAAATAAGGCAGCTTTCCTTATTATCTTTATAAGCCTAAACTTAGCTATATATAAAGAATAGCTTCTTAATATATCTATAAGGGCAGCTAATATTGCCAGAGAGCTGCTCTTAAATTAGTAATAGCCAGGCTATAGTCTTAGATTATAAGAGCATAAGGATAAGAAGTCTATATATAGAGTTAAATAAATACAGGGTAAAGGCAGGGTTTAAAGGAATTATATTAAGTTTACTTTATATAAGTTAGTTAGTAAAAGTTAAATTAACCTAAAGTTATAACTTAATTAATTAAATATATATAATAAGGTATATAACTAATTAAGCTTATATATAAAAATAAATAAAGTAAAATTAGTAAAAAAGCAATAGTTTAAACTAGGAATTACCCTTATAATTAATAAAGCTTTATTAAGTTAAATTATTATAATTAACTACCTTAATTATAACTTAAACCTAATTATATATATATTAGCTAAAAAGCCTTTCTTATTAACTAGCCCTAACCTTTATCTTATAATTTATTTAAAAAGTCTTTTATTAACTTTTATTATATATTTTTTTAAGTTTATAAATTAGCCTTAAGAGATATATTTAAGTATTTTTAAAGTTTAATATAATTTAAATATTTATTACCCCTATAATTAATAAAGCTTTATTAAATTAAATTATTATAATTAATTACCTTAATTATAGCCTAAACCTAGCTATATATATACTAGCTAAAAAGCCTTACCTGCCTATTAGCTGGCCTAAACCTTCTTCCTTTAACCTACTTTAAAAGTCTTCTATTAACCCCTGCAGCCACGCTTTAATTATCTATTACGCAGTAAGTTATCTAACCCGACTTTCTATACCTTCTAGCCACAACCACTAACAGCATCACAGCTGCCTTATTATTATACTTTAAAGAAGCCTGCAGGCACCTAGGCCTAAAAAGCCTTACCTACTTATTAGCTGGCCCTGACCTTCTTCCTATAACCCACCTAAAAGGATACCACGCTTCAATCATCCATCACGCTTCCGCAGTATGTCATCCGACCCGACTTTCCCTTCTGACCGCAACCGCTAACAGCATTACAGCTGCACCGTCACGATGTTCTGAAGAAGCCTGCAGCCTCCCGATAAGGCCTTTTATACCAAAATGCCTGGCCTAATCCCTTATTTTACGGCAGCTCTTAAAGACTATAAATGCAAGGATAAGCTCTATGCTATAGTAATAGAGATTAGAAAGGCTTAAGATAAGGAGGATAATATTACCCTTATTAAGTAAGCTGCTTTAGGCTGTAAGGTCCTCTTGCTTATATATTATTATTATAAAGAGCTAATAATCTCTAAAGGCTACTTTAAAGAGGAAATTAAGCTATTATAAAAGCTAGAGTAATACCTTATAGCAGGAAGGCCTATAGAGGCAAGCAATAAGGGATTTATTAAAGACCTTAAACTAGGGACTTTAGTTAAGAACCTATATAAATAGTAGCTTAATAATATAAAGAAATAGTTAGTAGAGCTAATAAAGGCTGTAAAGCTGATTAATGGCTGGTAATATATAGACTAGGCTGGTTATGGTCTTAGACTATAAGAGCGTGATTAAGATAAGGGGGACAGCATATTGCAATATCTAAGATAGAAGCAGGGTAATTATGAGGTTTTATAAAAGAAATATATTAAGTTTTATATAAGTTTAGGTTACCTAAAGTTAAAGACTTAAAGTTATGAATTTGGCATTAGTAGCGAAAAGAGGATTAAATAAGTTATAAGACAGGCTATATAACTAAATAAGTAAATAAGCTATAATATTAGTATATTATTAATATAAACAGGGGATAATAATACCTTTATATTATATTTTAGGTATCTTAAGAAACTTAATATTTATACTATTATATATATCTATTTATTTATTAAAAGAAATTACTTAATTATATAAAATAAAGCTTTATTTAAGCTTAGTATTAATATATTAGCTTATATATTATATTATTAATTAAAAGGATATTAATAAAATTAATAAAAGTTAAAAAAGAAAATTAAACTATTAAAATATAATATAAAAATATAGCTTAAATATATTTATTTTTAGATTTCTTATATTAATAAATATATATTAATAAAAAGCCTTAAAAAACCACTCCTTTTAATACTAACTTTTATAAAGATTTACTTTATTAATAAAGTTATAATTTTAAATATATTAAATAACCCTAATAACTAGGTCTTTTATTAGGTTAATAAGAAATACTATATAAACTTAATTAATATATAATAATATATTAAACTAACTATTTCTATAATATTTTAAGAAGCTATTATTTAAGATAAGCAGTTTTATCTTATTCTTATAATAAGGAATAAAATAGCTAATAAAAGAAGTTATTCTAGCTAGTTTTATTATAAGGCCTTAATAAAAGGTCTTCTTCCTTTTTTTAATAAATTTAAGCTATTTTAATAAGATAATATATAGAAATATATAGCTTAACTATTAATAAATTAGCTACTATTATATAAAATTAAACCTTTTAATTAGCTATCTTATTTCTTTAATTTAAACTCTATTAAATATATATAAAAAGCTCTAAAAGCCAAGCTTTAATAGATATATCCTAAATTTAGTAAATTAAAAATAATAAGGCTAATAAAATAAAGTTAATTAGATAGTAATAAGAAGCATAAGTAGCCTTGCCTCCTTACCTAATTTTAAAGCTAATAATTTTTATAAGAATTTGCCTTTATGCTATTATTTAGGCATAGGATTAGTATATAAAATATTAAAGTGCTAATTTAAATAAGTTAATTAATATTACTTATAATTTAATTAAATAAATATTAATATTATAATTACTATTTATATAATTAATGTTATAATAAGGGTAATTTAATATAAGGTTAGTGTTATTAAACTTTTATATTATAATTTTACTATATAGGCCTTTATAGCTCTTTATATATTTAACCCTAGATATAATAATTTAAAAGTAAAGATTGGCTTTATATTTAGTGCTTTTATAGTTATCTTTACTATTATAGTATTTTTCTTTCCCCTGTTTATATTAATAGTATACTGATATTACAGCTGATTTGCTCATTTAGTTACGTAATCTGTCTCATGACTTATTTAATCCTCTTTTCGCCGCCGATGCCAAATTCAGTCACGACTTCAGGTCTTTAACTTTAGGTAACTAAACTCACACAAAACTCAATACATTTTTCCTCCACAGAACCCCGCGATTACCCCACTTCTATCCTTACAGGTTCTCGGTCTTCTCCAGTACCTCCTTGGCCTGCCACCAGATATCCTTGAGCTACTTGTTATGTAAGCCGCCGTTAAGGGCCCTGAGGAACCCCCTCTCCCTCCTGCTTGGCTGCACCCCTCTGCATAGCTTCCTTTCTAGATCCTTAAGCTTCTGCTTCTTGCGTTTAAGGAAGTCTTTATTAATTAGAGGGTTCTTATAGATAGACTATATAAGCAGGAGGATCTCGTAACTAAAGATCGCTATCCTAATGCGGCTGGCATTATCCTTATTAAACCAGGCCTTTCTGATATCTATAGCCATTATATGCAGCATATCGCCCTTGCCCTTATTTCGCCCAAGAGCTTCTTCAATCTTAGGGATTACATCATGGCCTTCAGTTAGATAAGGCTTATTGGGCCTGGGTGCCTGCAGGCTTCTTCGGACAGGCATCGTGACGGGGCAGCTGTGATACTGTTAGCGGTTGCGGCCAGAAGGTATAGGGAAAGTCGGGTCGGGTTAGATGACTTACTGCGTGATGGATGATTGAAGCGTGCCTTTCAGGTAGGTTGTAGGAAGAAGGTTGGGGCCAGCTAATGAGCAGGTAAGGCTTTTCAGCTGGCATATGTGCAGCTAGGTTCAGGCTGCAATTGAGGCAGCTAACTATAATAATTTGACTTAATGAAGCTTTGCCGGCTGTAGGGGCAATAAATGTTTAAACTATATTAAACTCTGGAGATGCTTGGATATACCTTTCGAGGCTAACTTGTAAACTTAAAAAAAAAAAAAAAAAAAAATAGCATTTTTCTTTATTCCTAAGACTTATATATAAAGCTATATGGAATTAGATAAGCTATTTATAAACAAGGTTCCTACTTATTAGTTTTGCAAGTATGTTATACTTGCTAAATAGCGTGCTGAGAAGGCTTATGTAATTAAGAATGGGATTAAGGATAAAATTCAGGATGTTTCAGTGCTGGTATTTTTTACAGCGTCTTTATATTTTTTCCTTTTATTACTTATTATATAATAAGTTTAAGGCTATTAGAGGTTTATTACTCCCCTTTCTCTTATATTACCTTAGTTCTTTAAAATTCTGTTAGCTATATATAATTACCTTAATCTCACTTAAACCCACTCTGCCAAATATTTTAAGTTAGTGATTTTAAATCTTACTTATACCGCTACTAGCTAGCTCTAAATAAGACATAATAAATTTTCTCCCTTATATAAAATATAACAGATAATAGAGATATATAAAATAAAACTATTATAGTTAAATACCTTCTTCCAGCCCTTAGTACTGCTCTCCCCTTTGCGGAGCTTGAACCACACTAGGGTGGGCAAAAGCGAGTTCTGACCAAACGTGGCCCTGATAACTATTCGCGCCCCTATAAGAGACAGCACCATACCGAACCTCTCTGGCACCGATATCTTTCACCAACCGACTTGCATCCATGTTCGATCCAGATCCGGCGAGCTCCGGCGCGCTAAATGCCCTCGCGATCTCGATAGGCGACAGCGAGACGTCCCGACCGAGTCGCCACCAGTACATTAAGAGCGGGACGACAGCAACAGCAGCCAGGCCGATGAGCATCAGCGCCAGGCCCAGAAAGAGGAAGTCGGACGTGTAAACCACCTCGGTCCCTTCCTGCGAGACACGGACCGACTGAGCTGCTACGTACGAGTTATTACCCTGCAACGCAAGCCGGAACATAAGCTCCCGCGCTGTCATAAGAATATCGTGGGTGGGATCGAGCCACCGGTTCTGGCATAAGAAATCTGTATCTGTGTCCTCCTTAGCCCTGCGGCTGTACCGTAGGGCCGTGATGCCCGTTGTTGTCATATCGTATCCCACGGCACCCGCCCAGCGCAGCGTCACCTTGGCCGAGAATATGCCCTGGAGCGCCAGGAAGATGCCGCCATGCAACTGCATCTCGCTCGTCTCGGCGTATTTGATTAGCCTGTCGTCCTCATACGTGTAGCCGCGATCTAGCGCAATGGTGCCGTTAGCGATAACAATACGGTATGTGAGCGTTGCAGGCACCATTATGCATTTACGGACCGCCACGTTGCCCTTGCACCGGCCATGCTCTTTGAACTTGGCCGTCAGGTTCATGACGGGCTCTCTGGCGCGCAACTTCTGGGTAGGTTCATAGATCATGTAGGAAAAGTTCGTGCTAAAGACGGTGCTCTCATTGAAAGCCGAGTTACCATCCTCTGCGACCTCGTCCGGCATCCGGGGGGTCTTATCGAAGAACTCTGTCCCGTTGGCGCATGCCATCTTATACCCAGCCGCTTGCAGAATACCACGGCATATTGTCGTCCCCTGGCAGGGCGAGTTCTTGAGCCGGATCGGGGCTGACAGGAGGTGATTCTGTAGCACGGGCGCGAAGGAGGGCGTTATATAGGTGATCTGGTGAGCGCGCCCTGTAGTCATGCCGGTCGTGCCCGAGGTGGCATTAAGAGATAGGGCTGCCACGATAGGGATGTTGATGTTAGATGCTATAGGACGGCTGATAGTGCGCGATGCCCGCTGCGCAAGCGGTGCATTAGCGGGCACGAGGGCGAGCAGGACAGCGGCAACGGCAACGAGATTAAAACCACGCCCTGCTAGGAGCGCCGACCGCAGGCTAGTGCCGAACGACCAGATATGGTGGAGATCTGCCACGGTAGTTTTACCATCCTCCCGCAGAGCCGCGACCCACCACGAGATTTCGACGCCCTTATTGAAGGTGTAGCGCAGCACGATGTTAGCAACTACTGAGGCGATGGCGAGGTATACACCTGGCGACACCGGCCAATTGTCGATCTGGTCGCCGTTTGACTTGAGAACAATGCTGATCATGAAGAGAGCGCAGCCGATGCCAACGAAGAGGGAGACAAACGCGTCCCAGGGCAGGCGACGCAGGAAATTCGCGCGCCAAGGGACTGTTGAATGTGCATGGATTTGTTCATTCGGATTACCCCCATGGAGAGGATGAATGTTGGCAGGCAACAAGGCGACTGCTGGGCTCGCCATTGGTTTATCATCAGGAATCGAATGCATAGTCGTTAGAAAGTCAGTGTGTCGTGCGGTTCTATTATCACCTATATTCTGAACCTACTCTCTATAGTTGGAGTGCAGTGGGGAACTACTTATTTATACACAGCAGAGTCTTTTTCAGCCTTATTTCATCCCTAGCGACATCTGTGCCTGTAAAAAGAAGCTGATTTTGGTTTTGTAGAACATGGTTTATCAGCAGCGCTGTGGCTTACAAGCTATTGAACGCCTCTACCATAAAGCGGCAGCAGTGCGAAACCATGAGGCTGTCAGCGAATCACAATAAGCCAGTAACTGTTGTTGTTGTTGGAGCAATTGGCACAGGGTATTCTATCTGTTATAAGATTAAAATCTATAGGCCTTTTTTTATTTTTTTACATACCCACAAAAGGTCAGGGTATAATAAGGCTAGATCTAGTTGATTTAAAGTTAAGTATTGGTTTTGGGGTCTTTTTATAAGTAATTGTGGAAGCGGTTACTCTTATTTTCCGGTCCTACCTCCCAGTCTGCTACATTACTATTACTTATTCCCTGCCATTCCTTGTCACTCCTTGCATCTGAGAGGTTGGCTTAATCCAGCCCCTGGCAAAGCTGAAATTTAGAATGCGCTATTGACGCATCACTCAGCCGTCCTGATACGATGTTTAGGGGCTCCCTGTCCTGAGCTTTGTCAACAGGGTCTCTCCGTCATTTATCACTACTCAAATCTGGATAAGCAGCAGTTGGACTGCGAACCTAGCGGATTCCGTCGAGTCGAAGGGTACCTTATACCTTGCATTGAGTGGGTTTAAATGGTATTTATAAACTTTAGATCTTTAGTATATATAATATTTTATTAAGTTAAACTGCATAAGTTATTTTAAGTTCCTTATATATGCTCTTGGAGCGGGATAACGGACTCTCTAAGTAATTTTATAGATTTTTCAAGCATTAATAGAGTGGTATTCTAAAGGGGGATAATTATCAAAGGCGCTTGTTGTAACTTGTAATTACAGGGATCTTGGTTCGATGAGGGGAAACAAGTTAGCTCCGGCTTTGACGTTATTTAATTTGACAAGTTCTCCGGCTTTGAATTAGTTTAATTGGTCATCCATTCTCCATTCTTCCGGCTTCTTAGCTCGGCAAACCTTTACTGACGCAACCCCCTAACAGCCTCACCGACACCAGAGACACTTTCGACGCCTCGCGTTGCGATCAGCTCAGGCTACGCGTTATCACTTTATAACGTTTGCCTGACGCTTCGATTGAACTCGTCAAGGCAATAGTGCATTGTATCCTTTCTGAGATAAGTGCATACTGTGTGACTCATGGTATAAGTGTAAACCTTTTAAGTTATGACGTCTCTTGTTCCTGACTGTCAAAAGTTTGAAGGAGGCCCGAGCGTTGGTCTGACCAATTGATCTTGGCATTGTGGATTACCGCGGAGATCATTATCTGGGGCTCTGATCACAACGACGCGTCCGCAATTACTATAATATTTTTGAAATAGGATTAATATAATAGTTAGGTTTCTAAACAGGTAAACTAGTCCGTACTAGGTTTATGTTTACAGATAATATAGGGCGTAATATTAAATAAAGTAAAGTATTATATCTCTTAATAATAGATTTAATATATATTAGGCTTAATTAATATAAAGATATTTTATTAATAACTATTAAGCTAGAATCTATAAAAGTACTAATAAATATATATTATATATTAATAATAGTTTTATAGCTTAGTAGAAAATAAATATATTCTAAGAGCTAGATCCTTAGGGATTAGTAGTGATTTATAGTAATCTAATCCTAGAGCGTCGTAATCCAAGTAATCTAATAAAAGAGGATGGTGACTAAGAGAGGTGATCCTTAGTGTGATTGGTGGAATTTATAGGGGCCACGTAATATGGTCGCAGGGGTCGTAACACTAAGGGGATTCCGTCCCTTTATATCTGTTTTTATTAATAGCTATATAACCCTACTAATTAAGCTAGACCTCTTATCCTGAAATGCTTGCTATAACTGTTATAGTACTTTATAAGTATATTTAGCTATAATATTATTTTATATTTTTAGTAAATAAATATATAGTATTTATTATTAAGCTTTATATACTTATTTAATATTAATTAATAATATCTAATTATTATATAGTAATAATATAAAGTAAAATAAAATAATAAAAACTATTATAATCTTTTTTTATATTATAAAACCTCTTTTATTAAAATATTATAAACTTTAAGAATAATATTAATTCTAAATAATTTTAATTAACTTTATATAATAATTAGGTCTAATTATATTAAACTAAGCCATATTAGGTTTATTATTAATAGATAGCATAAGGCATATATTAAGCATTATTAAAGTATTATATCTCTTAATAATAAATTTAATATATATTAGGCTTAATTAATATAAAGAAGTTATATTAATAGCTAGTAAGTTAGAATTTATAAAAGTGCTAATAAATATGTTTTATATACTTATAATAACTTACTATAATAAGTTAGTATTTATATATAAGTTATA